CACGACCGCAGCTCACACCTGGGCTACTTCGGCTGAGAGAGGGGAACAGACTCCGGTGCGAGAGCTCTCTTTGTGTTGAACCGGCTAAGCATGGCTTTCAGATGTTACAGAAACAAGCCGCAATGGCTTGTGGTAGACTTTGTGGCTTCTGCAGGGATGGTGCCGAATGATTTGGTTGGCCCGACCCTGCTTAGTTAGTTTGGTAGACGGAGCAGTCCTTTCATAGCAGCCTTGCTCACCTGAACAGCCACCATAAATTACCTTGTGTAGCCTTCCCAGCAACACCTTTTGGCCCACCAATGACACCAGCTGCTTTGTAGTCAGTTTGACTGGTGGGATTGCCACCGGTGTGAGAACCATTGGGGGGTCTTTGTTACATGCCGCCTGAAACACCGCAGAAACCCATTCAGATGTTGTTGCACTTCTGCCCGGCTGACAATTCGCCTACCCGATCAGCGGTGTTGTTGTTGTTGTTGTTGTTGTTGTTGTTGTTAGACTTGGAGAAGGCGCAAGGCAGCAAGGTTGAACAAGCCCCAGCAGCCACATCGGTCCAGGTGCCAGCACAGTTGGCTCAAGGGTCATTAATATTATTGTTGAGCCTTTTATTTGATCTTGCTACTTTGCCTTCACTTTCGTTGGAACGAATGCAAGCAATCCATAGCCAAGTTTGTTCATCGGTGTGCCAAAAGAATGCGCTCAATGCCATTACTTCACCGAATTGTGTCCATGTTACCGTTACTATGTGTATCTATGTGTTTTCTCTGTGTCTTTTTTACCTTGGAGATGGTTACAAAAAAGGTTAATCTACAATACTACAAGATTACCGTAAATAATTGTAAGGCGTCGAAACGACCGCATTCGAATTGGACTGTAGTTCTTCCAAACCATACAAAAAGATACACAAAAAGGATCAGCAAAGGCTTTTCTTTCAAGTCCGGTGTTATTTGCAAAGTTTTTGCCTATGGAGACGTTGGGGGTTCTTGAGCTTTCAGCTTGTTGAATCTCAAGTTCTTGGGCCAGATGCAACCCCCGCGGATTCCCCGTCTCCTCATGGCAGTGCCAAGGCCCTGCCACCGAGCCGCGCGAGCGGAGCCGAAGTCCCAGGCGCCGGGCGAACGAACACGTCTAAGAGCTCGGGGTTTGGGGCCCCTGATGCAGCAGCTACAGCGGCTCTGAAACCCAAAAACATTTGCGGCAAAAATGCAACCCTGAACCAAGAGCGAAGTCTAATTGAGAGAAACATAGAGAAGCATTATGAAGCAGTATTTTTTCAGGACACAGAGGTTTCCTTCCCAAGATGTTCATCAACTTCCCCTGTCACCACGTTGTAGTTGGTCGAGCACTTTTCCACGAGAAAAAAAACCCTATGCCTTAGGCTCCAACGTGCACACATGTTCACAATTGTTCGAATATTCATAGACATTTACTAACAGTCATTGTTGGTGAACACAGGGTTCAATGTCACCGATATTATTCATATATTGATTAATGTTGATCGTTTTGGCTTCAATACTCCTTTCCGCTTTTTTTTTGCCATGCTTCAGTGTAGTTGACATGCTGGTGTTCTTGCGGATTTCAGCGCATCACAATGCTTCCTGCGAAACTTTATCCCACGCGGTGTTGACATTTACACTTTCTCGTGAAGTTGGCATGTTTCTCGGAGCGTGTTCACAGAGGGTCAGTGAACCAATCATTCAGATTTGACTACAAAAGGCATCCTCAAGCAGCATAATATGAGTGCATTCCTAGCCTGCTCTCATTTGACGACCTAGCCAGCAAGTGTGAAACCAAAGAAACGGTCACCGGGTGGTTCCAGACCCCAGCCACAGGCTGTTCCAATTCGGGTATATACTCCGAGACTACACGAATTGACCGTCCATGTGCGCCGACTGCGCCCCCAGACCTGGGGCGACCTGGGGATCTGCGCAGTCGGAAGTCGCCGTCCAGTCCCGCCGGGTGCACCGGGTTCTTCTCGCACTCCCCAGGCCTCCTCCGTTGGTGTCCGAGCCGGAGAGGCTCGGGGACGTGTGCGAGTCAAGGGCGAAGAGGAGCGATGGGCCAACTTGCCAAGTGACTGAGGCAGTTTGGTATTACTGAATGATGTGGTTTCTTCTGGTGCAATCTGAATGATGTATTTATGACCTGAAGAATTGCTGATGGGAAAAAAAAGGTTCAATGGCTTGAACATGGAGATTGATCCACAGTTGGATCGGGGGCTTGACCTGGCTTGACCCTTTAATAGTGAACATCTTCTGGCTCTGATTTCACAGCTGCAGAGGTAGGTAGCAGAGCGGCAGCTACCTGGTAAGTGGATGATTCTCAGTTGCGCAGCTGCGTGTCGCTGAGACTTGGGTCTCAGAAAGGCCCTATGAATCATAAACCTTCATAAACCTCACTTGGAGGCACAAAAAAGGTAGAGGTGAATCCATGTTGCCTTACGTCAGCGCGTGTATTTATTTTATGTTTATAGTTTCTTTTCTTGAGCAAAAATCACCAGAACTCGGACTCCTTCCTCGCAGTCGCCAGGCCGGAGGCCGAGACAAGCGATTTGAAGGCTTTGCGCTTCTTGTTGGAAGAGGCCTTGGAAGCAGCGACCTCAGGTTGGCATCGTGTTTTTCCATGTTCATTGATGTGTTTCAACTGCCACTGCGACGCCCGAAAAAAGAAAACGACCCATTCAACGGTCGTTCGGCTGGTTGGGTTGATCAGGGGTCACTCCTGTTTGGCGAGTTCGCGGAGACATGGAGTGGCAGTCGCTGAAGATCCAATGAAAAGCTGTGGGTCCCCCTGGACCCTGGTTGACCACAGAGAATGAACAGCCAAGTAGCTGGGTTGCTATTGAGCATTTAACCATGAGGAAGAACGTGACTTTCCAGAGGATGTATTGTTTGACTGCGCAGCTGCAGGCTGTGCAGGGCTACTGATTACAGTATATTCTCCATGATGAGGAACCACCGATTTTTGAGGTCAAGCCACACCATAGTGTGTTCTTCAAGCCATACCATGTGTTTTCGCCGCGCCACCGCGCTGTTTTTTGCTCCAAAGAGCTCGTTGCCTCACACTCCTCCGCACTTTGCTTAGCTTCACTGCGTTGAACTGCCACCATGGCCAACACCCACCGACGCACCCGTGGAGCTTTGCTTTTGGCCCTGTGCTTGTGTGCCTCGGCAGATTTTTTTTTGGGGGGTCAATTTGGTTGAAGAGCCGATGTGGACTACCTGTAAGTCACCAGAACTTGGGCGAAGAACGTGTACGAAGAGGACTACGAAGAAGAAGTCTAAGCGTGCACGTTGACTCCTCTGGGCCTCCTAAACCGCTCCATTTTGATGTATGTTGTTCTCAAACGTTAGATGATCGCAAGCACGCGCAAACACACATGGGTTTGGTGCAACCACTTGTTCCAAAGTGGTTCTTTCAGGATTCATGAAGAACGAAACAGAGGGGCGGAGTGGTTCTTGCTGGAGAAGGAGTAGCAGATGGACGAATCCATGTATTAGGTTGGCCATCGCTAGGTTCGGTTGGAGGCATGGTTTTCGATGTGTCATCGGACGGGGAAGCCTCGTCATGCTTCGATTTGGCACCGGTGTCTCAATACATGGAAGCCCAGACTCATCAATCCAGGATCATAATGACATTCAGAACCAAAATCCAATCATCTCATCTCATCTCATCTCATCTCCTTAGATCTCCTTGGTGTATTTTTCCTGTAACAACTTCCACCTGGCCAGCTGGCTCCTACTCGATGGGCCCGAAGTTTGACGCTTCTGTTGATTCTCTTCCACTGTCACCATGACTCAGTGAAAGACTGCAGGGTGATAGAACTTCCATCGTTTAATGGGCTCTTTGCGCTCGAAAAGAACCGCCCGATGCCCACGACTGTGATCCACTTGAACCCCCCGTGCCGACTGTGATCCACGACGTGGTCAGAACTGTTCCGAGGCACTATTTGGAACTTCTCTCAGCAAGCCTTCACCAAGGTGGAAGAAGTCCCACAGGAGGGAACGAACTTCACACGAGACTGGGGGGCGGCAACTTGCCTTCACATGTGGAAAAGGTGACGCAACAGTTCTTGACCCGCTGAAGCTGTCGTCCACCCAGGCCTTCAGATCTACAGACCTGTCAGTTGAATCGTTTTCTTTTTTCCTTCCTAACCAGCACCAGCCAAAAGGGTGGTTTATAGAACCCCCTTGAAGATGTATTGACCATCCAAGAACCCCCCTGTGGATGGTGCTGGAAGATACTCACAAGCCAGTGTTTCTTTTTTTTTCACTTTCATGACCTGTGTTTTTCAATTCTTTACTTCTTCACAGTTTTGGATATGTTGATTTTCGAGATGCATCAAAAGGAGTGCAATTGAAATGTGTCCCAGTTCTTCCCATAACCTTATTTTGGTGTTTGGTTTGTTGCTGTGATTTCAATGTCAAGACTTTCTTTGCCAAAGGTTGTACTTGATACTTGTATTGTGGAGCTTTGCACTGCCAAATTGCTCAAGAGTAGTTTGTCTTAGGGTTCACCAAACCCAAAGTCGCAAAACATCTTTCATGCAATTGTTTCGGTCGCCCACTTCATGATGTGCGTATTTATTGCACTGAATGAATGAAATGTAGCAAGCTGAAGAAGGTTGAAGGAAGGTTTGAATTAGTGTATACGCGTCGCAAGCCGAAACATCATGTGAACCGCAAGCTCCATCACCTCACCGAGATCACAACAAACCGCGAACAGACGCCATCACTCCATACGCACGCCAGAAGAGCAAATACCAAGTACCAAAACAGGTACAAAACAGGCAGATTCCTACCAGGAACCAAAGGCACTGCATGCACAGCCCCCTCGACCTGTACTGTGCATGTCAACCTGGACGCAGGTGTCATAGGGGAGTTCAGCACCTTACAGTGACCCAGCCAGCAATGCTGCACTGGATCGCCCCCACATAGCACCCATAGGGGTGCACAGCAAGAAACAGCAAGTAAGAGCAAGTGAAATGAGTGACGGCAAACTTTTTAACGCAATCGCCGCAATGCCCTCTCCACCTCAAGTCTTACGCACTGTACTGCACGGGCATCCTTTGCGGACACCCAGCGAAGGATCCAATCTCTGGTCACCCTGGCAAGCAGGTCTTTAGGGAATCCAGCCAAAGAACATAAAGACAAAAAAGCCTCTTCAAAGGCAAGAGCCCTGCCCTTGGAGCAGCTGGACAAATGAAAGATGCGGCACAGCCATCCCTTAATGACCGCCGTCTTTTGTGAACGGGGGGTCCACGATGACCATGGCTGCAAAATTCGCAAGTCGACCGTGTGGTAACTACAGCTTCCGAACGGGTCAGGGAAGACAGGGGCAACAAAAAGGCCCTCATCTCCAAACTCCATCCGCAAACCGATGAATGTCCGAAACTCACACTCTTCCAAGCTCATGGTGCCGTAGTGGTATCGGGCGCGCAGCCTGGAGATAGCCCATTGCGCCACCCTTTCCCTATCAATGATGGCTTGCCCGTCCCACACGCAAAACATGCGCAAGTCGTCCCGGAAACTGACGTCAAGGACCAACATGTTGCAACCACAGAGATGGACCAGCTTGGAGCAGGACCTGCGGAAACAAACAGTGTTTGCCTCCTCAACAGGTAGTTGCGCAGCCTCCCTACTCCACTTGAAGAGCCGCAGCACTGCCCCACTCAAAGCATCGCCCATTGGAGCCCCACGCAGCTCACGCCCGAGGAGGCCGGGCAGAACCACAAAGTTGGTCAAGGTAAAGTGCATCAACACCTCCCGAATCTCTGCAAAGGAAAAGCAAACCCAGCCAGCATCACAGACCAGACCAAGGCGACCAGCACCACCGCCCCTTCGTAAAGGCACACTGATGTAAGCCACATGTCGGGTGCTCCAAAAGGCAGAAAGAGCATCCCAAATAGACGGCGCTTCGGAGCAAGGAAGGTGGTGGAAACAATCAACCATGTCCATCGCTGCAATCCACCCACGCGGCTCCATGAACATGCTCTTCACAAGAGCGTTGAAGTCCGAGACCATGCCCAAGAAGGCATTGGCTGATGGAAAATCGGACCAAGCCTCGCGGGGCATATTGTCCAGAACAACATCAATGGCTCTAGATACAGCCGAGTGCAAACCAGTCGCCGGCGCGTGGTGCTTGTTCACTATCAGGCGCCACTTCACTCCTGGACCTTTCCACTTTGGAAGAAAAACGGGAGTTCCGATAGACCAAGATCTGGCTGGTACCAAGGACAGCCGCGTTGGTTGCAAGTGCGGCGGGAGGCCCTCAATCTTTGCCATGGTAGCCATCACTTCAGCCCTCCGCGTATCAGCTTCCCAAGCAAAATCCAGCCCCGTGCCATGATCACCAAGATCAAGAGCTGCACAAGCTTGGACGTGTACTAGGGCAGGACAAAACACACCAATACGGGACAGGTTGTGGTCAAAGACCTGCGTGAAGAAAGGCCTGAGGAATTCCTGGGCCAGTGAAATCTCCAGCCACGAAACAGGAAATCTGGTAGAGTGCTGAGCAGCTAGCCCTTGCAAAGCTGCAGTCAAATCGGCAACAACGGATTCGACCCAACATGGCTCATCCGCCAGCTTGCAACGGTCCCGCAGTCGACGAAGCATTTGCTTCACAGCAACTGCGATCTGCTGCCGCCTCGGTGGCAAACGCAAGTTGGCTGGTAATTCTCTGAACTTCCGCAAGTGCCGTGGCCATGGAATCCGAGCCTGGGATGCAGCAATGTGCACTTGACCATCCACGGTCACCGTGGGCCAGGTGGGGTCTGCCAGCAGGAACTCCCGACAAACACAAGGCGGCCTCACCATTGCAAAGTCTGCAAAGAAGTCACGGCTGCAAAGAACGCTACCAAGAGAGGGCGTAGTTGCCCACCGGAAACGAATCCGCGCATGCCTCAGAATAGGTAACCAATGACCCGCCCTGCGCCATGAGGCCACCAAAGAACGCACCGCGTGCACGGCCAAATTGCGAGCTTGCTGCGACCCAACCCAGGGAATGTCACAAGAAATGACAGCGATGGGGGATGGCAAGTCTCTTCGAATGCCAGCAATCCGACGCAACATGCGCAAGGCCCGTGCTCGGCGCCACCCTGACTCGTTGTTGGTGACACGCTGCACTACATACACCCAAGCTGACCTCGACAACCTCCAAGCAGCCAAAGCACACAGTCCACAGCCAGGAAAACGATGTCCTGCAAGCGCAGCAGCGGTTCGCTGCAACCCTTGTTTCCAAGCATCATGAGCAAGCTTCTGCCCGCACACAATTTGCGGAGAAGGAAACGTCTTGGCCCTCAGTCTGCAAACCAGGCGGTTTCTCCCAAAGACCAGTGAACTCCTGCTAGTCACACCATTGCTCCGAAGCAAGCGGTGCACCCGAGGTGGGTTCAATACACCGATCTTCCGAATCCAGTCTGCCTCTAATGCTCTCCGCGCACAACCATCACCAGGTGCGGGGACAACCGGAAAAAAGATCCACTCACAAATTGCCAGCCGCATGAGGTGGGGAGCACACTCTCCCGCTCTCACAAAATGGAAAAAGGGTTGCTGTACAGCGCCATTGGGAGCAAGCAATCGACAAGAATGCTCATTCACACGTCTGGCAAAATTGTCTGTCTCGCCGACGTAGGCGAGGGGACCAAAAGAAGAGTATTGTGGGAACATCGGGACACACACATAGATGACAGAGCCATGCCACAAAGTTTCCCATGAAAAATTCCAAGGCAAGCCACCCAAAGATTTAAGCAGGTGTAAAGACCTGCGGGATGACTGCGCTTGAAGCATGCAGAGCCATACACTGGCACAGATGCGAAGTATAATCTCCTCAGCTTCCATCTTTCCCTTAGTGAGTCCCAGGAACCAAAATCGCAACAGTGCAAGCAAGCACAGGGCAGCGCCACAAGCCGAAGCTATGTGCTCCTGGTCCTCACATTCACCCCATCACGGGGGACATTGTACCATGTCTGTGGCCCGCAATCGGGCGAGCACTTCTGGAACTTGGCTGTCTTTGCCCCGCACCTCCAAGTTCAATGCATCGCATAAGCGCTTCAAGGACTTAGCTGGGGCCGATCCGAGGCTCACATCCGTCAGCAAAGCCTTGAACTTGCGCAAGTAGAACTGAAATGTGTGCTGGTAAATGGGGCTCATGACATCCAAAGGAGGAAGGGTCTTCAAAGCAGCACTGGGCTTCAACTTGCAAGGAAAGCGGTTTGCATGCTTCACCTCTAATGAATCCAAAGATAAACCATCCACATCAGCCTGAATCCTGGCAGAAACCCAAGTTGCGAACTCCTCACTGTTACGGTCGGCCGGAGGGGCGTCCAATCCAGCTTTCAGTGGAGTAGCATCAGCCAAAGCAGATAATCCTGCCAGGCCTTTCTTTGGAGTTGCCAACTTGGGCCCCGGCACACGGTCAGGAGCAACAGCTTCACCAAGTGAATCCGAGGCACGAGTGCTGGCATCAATGTGCCGTGAGGTATCCGAGGAATCGGCTTTCTCTGGGCATTTGGAAAGGTACTTCACAGTTGCCTTCCACTTGGATTCATTGGTGGTAGTCAGCGGCAGCAAGCGAAAACACTCCCAAAAACGTGAACAACAAAGCCTCGACATGGGAGTGATGGTCCAATTCTCGTCCTCAAAGTGTGACTGCTGCCTTGGAGAAGCCAGCTGGATGCATCTCTCCCGTCTCAAGGCATTCAACTTGGAACACATCTGGATGCGGTCAACGCCCTTCAAAGAATCAATGTCCACAATGATGCCCGGTGGGGGGGCGCCACGCTACTGCCCGAAGCTCACGGGGAATGCCAACCCAAATGTCGGCAAAGTCTTCGGGAGAAAGCAAGAGCAAACATTCCAAGACCAACTTGTTGAACTCGTCTTTTCCCATGTCACCTTTCAAGTCCTTGGCCTGCGGAAGCCTGTGAGATGCACGCCTCCCGCGGGGTGATCGCGATCTAGACCGCCCCCGCCTTACAGAAGGTTGACAAAACCCCGGCGGGGCCCCTGGAGGAGGTGGTCCAGGCACAGGAGCTTGGAAAGGAGCAGTGTGCATGCCAAGATGTTGGTGTGCAGCAGCGCCAGCCCAACCAGGATTCAAAGATCCAGTCCCAAAGTGGCCATAATGCGAATGTGGCCACGACATGGCTGCACGGGTCTGTGCACAGATGTCTGCAAAAGCCAGTAGCTGGCAAACATACAAGCACAGCAATCAAAGTCAAGTGTAAGTGTGCAAATGTCCAACAAGCAACTTCCAAGAAAACATGCCACAAATTCATGGAGGCAAATCGTGGGACAAAAAAGTAGGCGCCGATATATCTCCAAGAACACCACAGGAAGGAGAAAAACCGTAAGATCAAACAGCAAGCACTCAACATCATAACCAGCGTATACTCACACACGGCACTAAGCAGGATAACAATTTTGCATAGCACGCATCTGTGTATCACCGCAAGTAAAGTTGCACAAGCAACTAGTAAAGTAAAAGTGAAAGTGAAAGTGAAAGTGAAAGGCCATCAGGCCAAGTTCAGTTGCAAAAAAGCAACAAAAAGCCTACCCCAGGGATTCCACCTGGTGTCCGTAAACGGCACAGGCCTGGCATAATGAATGAAATGTAGCAAGCTGAAGAAGGTTGAAGGAAGGTTTGAATTAGTGTATACGCGTCGCAAGCCGAAACATCATGTGAACCGCAAGCTCCATCACCTCACCGAGATCACAACAAACCGCGAACAGACGCCATCACTCCATACGCACGCCAGAAGAGCAAATACCAAGTACCAAAACAGGTACAAAACAGGCAGATTCCTACCAGGAACCAAAGGCACTGCATGCACAGCCCCCTCGACCTGTACTGTGCATGTCAACCTGGACGCAGGTGTCATAGGGGAGTTCAGCACCTTACAGTGACCCAGCCAGCAATGCTGCACTGGATCGCCCCCACATAGCACCCATAGGGGTGCACAGCAAGAAACAGCAAGATACTTGCAAGTGGTCCGGAATCTGATGATAGCATTGGATCGCCGGTCCCCAGGGATACATCAACATTCCAATCCACCTAACTGTGGCTGTAGGATCACACCACTTACGAACCAGGTTTGCACACCAGACCAGAAACCTCCACAATCAGTTCATTGGCCTAGGATTCCTTAGGATCAATGCATGAGCAGATGGAGAGCATTTTGCTAAGAGCCCTGAATCAATGAGTGCTGTCATGTCAGTGATCACAGAAGCGCGATCCCTTGCGGATCCCTTGCGGACCGTGTATGACCCCTTGGACACGAGGCCGAGGACCTCCATTGACGGAGCTCCTTTCGCTCGCCCCGATTTGACCAAGACTCGCGTCCTTCTGGGAGGAAGTACCTACTCGTCGTAGTAGCTTGTTACTATATATGATTGAATCCACAGGTCGTCCCCCCACACTGAGCGCATGAGATGTCTCAGTGCAGACGCGCCGGACGCAGGAGACATCTGGAGGTGTCAGAGCCTTGGGGGAAGTGGGTAGTGAGAAGGCCCGAAAGCGGTGTGAACGATGAATGAGGAATTCAGTGTGGGATCTTGAGCAACACGGGGTTCATCAGGCAGATTTTGAGGGTCTTGGGGTTTCTAAACCCTTGAAAACTCTGCAAAGCTTCAACTCACAGCTGCATTTTCAGTAGAAAGACGCCAAGATCTCCCCAGCACTGGCTTTGGCCCTGTGACACTCAACTCAGAGGGGACACCCCGCAGCACGAACCCCCAACTCTAAAACCCCCACTGGCCGCTCTTCGTCCATTCAGTGTCCTCAAACCCAGCCAGCCAGGGGTCGACAGCGCTGTCAGACACCGCTGTCGACCCCAGGTGAAGATCGTGGCTGAGCACCCCTTGCTCTTCAGTTCCTGGGCCGCAATGCGAGTCGAAGAAGACCGGCCGAAACCAACCGACTTCGGCATTTCGTGTGGGAAAAGGGCAGAGGGGCGGGATGAGAGAGGCCATGGGTATTTCTGAGGCAGAGCATCTCGGAATTCAACGCCGGGCTACTCCCGTTTTTTTCTGGGAAATATCATGTATCTCCCGTCATCACTTCATACATCTCTTGACCCAGTCAGCAGAAACTCATGTCTTGAGTTTTAGGACATGAAGAATCGATCCGACACCACGCTTGGTGTCGCCAAGACTTTTTCTCAGAAACCCCAACCATGCAGGTGGGCGGACTCCACCCGAATGTATCAGTTTGTTGATGTTATCACGCCAATTGCTCAAGCTGTGTTGCTGTCTGCCAAACATGATCGGCTCATCGCGGTGTTCACCGCCTTCCTCATGACCCAGCGCCGCGCCGCGCCGCGGACGCCGCGGACGCCGCGTCCACCACCGAGGCCTTTTGGCCATGGCGCTTTGTGGAGCGCTGTGTATGACGGAGAACTCGCAGACCCCACGCCAGGCGGGGGCGTTGGGCGGGCATCGGAGGACGAGCACGAAAGACAAGCGGAGGACGAAGAATTCTGACCAACTCAGCGTTGATTTGAGGGCCACCTGACTCGAAAGGAAATCCGGACATGTGAATCAGAAAGATTCTCCATTTCCAAGCTGCAGGCCAGTGTTCACCACTGTCTTTTCACCCTACCAATCTGCTGGAAGCTATGATGTTCATCGGCAGGGCAACGCGGAGGACCGCGCCGACTATGGCAGCTTCCTGCGCCCTGGTTTGCGGTTTTTCTAGTGTTCTCCATTTTCTGGGCCTCCCCAGACAAGAATGCCGCCTGCCGCGAGGCGGAGCAGGGAAAGGTATGTATGACTCCAACTGTTGGAGGATGTTGGGGGAACTAAGAATGGCAAAACCAGGTTCACATCCCATCACACTGGAACCGTGAGCGGTTTCGACCCGTTTTCGATTGAAAGACTTCCCACCGCTTTGGGGGTCTTACTTTGGCCGGGTGTTCCCCATCGAACAGGAGAGGGTGGGCTGGATTGTCTCCCGCTCCTTTGGGTGGGGAGTCTTTGTCCGAAAATGGATGACATCGATCCAAATCCATGGTCATCCGTTTCGCGGAAAAACGGATTGAACATATTGAACATCCATCCTCCGGGATGCCTAATTCCTCTACCGAATGCCACGGGTTGGGTACGTATAGTTCCATCCATCCTCCGTCATGGTGACACGGATTGAAATCTGATGAAACCTGGATGAGTGAACGGCAATTTGGTGCCTTGAAGTGCTTTCCTTCCAAGACAGGACTTCACTAGTCGACACACAGCGCTTCAGCAGTCTCTTCCCATCCCTTCATGCGGAAGCCACCCATCCGTCATTGAAATGGAGCAATGGACATGGAATCTGACTCATGATGGAAACTCAAGGAAAACCGGGTTGAGTGTTCTTAGTAAGTTCTTAGCGCTCAAGTTGTATGAAGCGAATTGGTTGATTTGACCATATTTGACCTATTACTGTAGTGACATGGAGTTTTCACGGAGAAAAAACACATGTTTTTTGTTCAACTTGATTGAGAGTTCTCACCGTTCAGGTCTCCATATGGTGATGTTTGCATGATTCTCACTTTGTTCAGTGGCTCCTTTGAGCTTCATGTGCTTCGAAAACAGTGCGGAACAGGTCAGACGGGTTCCCGTGGCGACCTCAGGATGATCCAGAACCTCTTGTGCTTCACCAGCGGCCTGGTGAACGTGCCTCAGACGAGTTCAGCCACACGTTTCAGAGTAGTAACTGAGCCGGTGTCCTCCGGAAGTATGCTTGGACTGTCCTCTTTGATGTTGAGGAACGAGTTTTTTTTGCTAGCAGTAGATGCACCAAATATGCCTCCGTGGTATATGACTTCTATGTGCCGTGCCATGGCTGCCACTTGCACACGGTTTTCCAGCGGTGATCGCTGGTCATCCGAAATCACTCCTTCAGAGCACGACACATCCAGGACAAAATTCTGACCCGGATGTGTCTTCCCAAACAGTGAATTCTTGAATTTGCGGGATGTTATATCTCATATCCAAAATTCGGACGCATGCCCCACTTGTACCGCTCGCCTGCGAGCTTGCCAGTGTGCCAATGATTTGGGCTTTATTGCTTTTGGCACACTGGATGGCTTCAACTAAGAAATTCTTAGTGCGATATTGTTAGCTGGTGTAAAAGAAACCTTTCTGTTTGAAGCCCTTCTGTTTCAGGGTGCTGATTTCCGCCAGTGAAGAATTTAACTCTATCTCTATTCTGCGTTGGCCAGCCAAAGGCACTACCTCGACTCAGGTCTCATCTACCTGCCGCGACCTTCCATGGAAGGCACTCATTCATTCATTCCCTCTCCATGTCATCCTAGAGTAGATAGAGTATGAACCAATCCAAAACGGGACTTCAACAAGCTCCAGGATGACTATACTTGGTTGGTGTAAAGTTGAGAATGGTTGCAGAGAAGATATCATGCCAATGAACTGTTTGTGCAAATATATCATTTTTCATATATGTTTTCATAGATTCTTAATGATCATCCTTTTCAGAGGTTTCAGCTTCAATGATCGATCGACCAATCCAGGATGCTCAAGCTCCCCATTTTGGGTCGACTCTGAGGCCTTGTGCATCATCGATATGGGCATGACCGTGTCCCATCAGTCCGGCAACACCAGCCACACCGGACCACGCCGTCCGTGGGGATGGTGGTGCCTGGTGAGCTTGGGAACTACTGTCGTGCTCCGAGATCACAGGGGAAGACTCTTTTTGGTACTTAGCAAGTCTTGATCAACAAACATCAAGCACATTGAACATTCGAGCCGAACCAAAGGTTCCAAAGTCCCTGGCTCTTTGGATGCATTTTTTTCCGGACATCCACTTCTTTCAACAAAACTGGCTTTGACACATCGTTCGCTTTATCGTTCGCTTCTCCAGATGCTTTGAAGTTCTGAAAAACCCATCAAAGACACGGGTGTTCACTCCACTCCGTCAGCTCGCGTCAGCTCGCCAGCGCCGGCGCTCGTGCTCGTTTTGCCTCGAAGTGAACGATCGCTTCGTCTCGTCGCTTCGCGAAACGTCGGTTTCGGTGTCTCCCGAAACGTCGGTTTCGACGCGACGTTTCGGGTGGTGCGGACGTTACGTCGGAGGGAGGGGCAGGTGATTGGTCTGTTTACATGTCACATGAGGATCACATGTCACATGCATGCGATGAAGCATCTCCATGCATCTTCGCGATACTTCCAGAGTTCCGGCCCTGATTGATGAACAGAAGCGGAGCCCTACACCAAGACATCATGCCAGTGGAAGACTCCCAGTATCACGAAGACACACATCTCAGTAATTCAAGAGTTTGCCGTTCCTGCCCATCATTGCAACTTGTTGCATCTCACCCGCAAACGGATTTGAGCCAGCAAAAACAGTTTTTCAGACCGGATCCCTTTGTTTTGGTCGAACCTTCTCATGTATTCATGGCCCACGCAGGACGTCTCATTATGGCCGGCGCCGCCAAGTTTGGCCACCTCTTAACCACCTTCTGCTTGGGATCCTTCTTCGCAGGCGACCCCTCTGGGGCGGCATGCGGCCGTTGAGCATGTTTGCAGGTTATTTTCGCATGTTTGAAGGGCAGGAGGCTGGAGGCCGGACTTCCTGAACCATCCGACTATTTGGGTGTCTCGACCAAGCCTTTCCATTCGAAGGGCCCAATCGGGCGACCTTCGGGAAACCCCGCGCGCGCGGCGCGTGACACCGCCTGCTTGGCCGTCAGAGCAAGGATACTCCAGAGATCTCCAGAGGGCCGATGGCGAGTCTGTGTTCGAGCACGCGTCGACGAGTCAGAAACAGATATTCAAAGCAAGAAACAAGCAGAAGAAGTGTCAACAGCCGTCAATCAATGGCCCTCCCCCACCCCACCATACCCCACCCGTTTGCAGGAAAAAGCACGTGATTCTCATCAACTGGCGTTCAGAAAATAGATCGAGGTTGTTGATTCCTCCATTTTTTCCCGAAGAATGCTGAGCTGAGCTCCCATGCACGTTGACCTTCTTGTTTGCGCACCCCGTGTGTACATTCATGCCATGTGCACAGTCGCAAGACCTGGAGCAGGTCCGAAAATCCGAATACATTTACAGTGTTGACTGCGTTTGATGGTTGCAAAAACAAAACGATCTGCGGCTCTTAGTAGGGAGTCACGAATGTCTTTGTTTCGACTGACTGCGTTACGACCCAAAAATCTCGCCGGCAGCTCGGGCCGCTGCGACCGATCTCCATCGTGGGGACGACCCCGGCACCGTCGGGCACCGCGAGGCTTCAGCAAAGCGGATTGCGAGTTGATCTATTCGGGCCGCTACTCACCCAACATGCTCGCCGCCGCGGTGGCGGTGCCTCGGGATGTGCGAGTCGAAGCGGGGGTGAAGCGGGGGTAAGCGTTATAAGATGTTTGGAGGTGAGAGGTACTCTCCCCATGCTTTCAGCAGGATCCTGCATGGCAAAAATGATCAGATAGGTATAAACTGTTGTCCACTTCTCAAGAGGGGTCCAATTGCAGATGTGAAGAGCACTAATTAGGCCATGCTCGATCGAGCATAGCTTCTGATACTTTGCACGAGCTGATAGCTCTGCAGGCTCTGCAGGTTACTTCCGTATTGCTTGACTTGTGTACCTGTGGTGGAATCGGCAGATTCTGTTTGACATGGAAACACTGGCAGCAATGAACATAAATACGCTTATATATACAAATACATGTTGTTTCTACTCTTGTTTTGACGTTTCCATTTAAGAAATAATTTTGTGGCATTGAACTCAAGCGTTCTGGACATGATGGACTTGGGTTATAGTAGATTCTTTGATGTGCTTTGGTGGTTTTCTTGATGTTGATTCTGATGTGTGTTTGACCTCCTGTCAAGAAGTATCAGATTGTGTACTTTTTTGGCACTTCAGAGGGAGGTAGGTTGTGTTCATGTTTGATCTCAAGTTGCATATACCAGCAATGTACAGACTTCGTCTATCTGTGAACTAGAGAGATGCCCAGCTAGACCCCTGTAGAGCCCAGTCGAGGATCAAAAGAAGTGCCTGACAAACGGACCTGATTTCAGTAATCTTCTTTAGTGAGGAACTGGACTTCTAGTATATAGACTAAAACCATCTGAAACCCATGGCATGGGTTGGGGTGTCTCCCCGTTTTTCGAATACGCTGTCGACGGGAACTCTCCAAACCCTTCAGACCCGAGCTCACTGGTGTTTCTCCGTGCTGACCTGGTCGGTCGAGACCGAAAAAGGGAAGCAGCACCGCCCCTCGCATCCATTCACTGGAGACTGATAATAATGGCTCCACCCCGACGCGAGCTCTGTGACTCCAATATGAACTTGAGGTGGTTGCCGGCTGCATGGTACACTACTGCAAGGCGAGAGTCGAGAGTGTGTGTGTGTGTGCTTTTGCCGGCGAGATGGTGCTACAGGAAACCTGTTGGTGAGGTACTGTATACTAATTGTTGGCCCAACATGTGGCAACTCGAGAAGGTGCTAGCTGCAAGTGTCTGCTATGAACCATGCAGACAGAAAGACCTTCCGACCCTTAAGAGTCTCTTGTAATCCGAGTCTTAACACAAGACAAATTGATGTCTTTGTTTGCAGCATCAGACTGATCCAGGTCTGTATTGCAAAAGAGACTAGCATCAAGCTGTACCGTGGTGAGTGTGTGGCAAAAGCCCGTGAACCTTCCCGTGAACAAGAGCACATGTGGTAGACTCTTCTGTTCGATTGGGGGAGTAGCCGTAATACAGTAATGCATCATGATCATGGTACAGTCCCCATCAGAAGCGATCAACTCGCAATCTTTGAGACTCTTTGAGTCTTACACTGACACTGCCTCCAGCGTGTCAATCTCGCCCTCCCTAAGACAATCACTACACTTGGACAGATACATTAGAATCTTCCAAAAAACCACATGCCGCATGCCGCATGCCTCTTCTGACCCTGCCAGGAGCACGCGGGTGATGGCAATGACAACACCTCAGCTGCTCGGTATTCAAACATGCCGAGGGGAGCCGACCGGGGGCTTTAGGACCCGGGTGAGCTCGAAGAAACCGGAGGGACCGAAAGGACCCGGATGCGACGGACGAGTCTCTAACGCGTCGACCACGTTCGGCCTAGGGAGCCTAGGGGTGGTTAGTGGACACCCCTTAACCTCTATGGGGCTACTCTCAGACTTCCCCCGATAGAAGGGCCCTGGTGTTACGACATTCGTTGGCCCTGGGGCGTTCCGTCGCCTTTCGTCAGGAATGCTTGCTGCTCTTCGCCTTCTCCCAGGGTATCCAGAACGGCATCACCCGAAGGCAGGGTTGGAAGACGAAACGCAAAGAAGCACAAAAGAGGCCTAGACAATCCTAGACAGGTTAATTACTATCCCATATGTACTACTACAGGGTCCCATAAGGTCTCTCAACCTCTCTTGGAGTACAAGAACAGAAACGGAAGCAGAAGAGGGGACAAATGGGAGAAAGAAACCACTAGTAGCAAGAGCGACACAAGAAACCAACAAAAAGGCTGGGAGATGCCTTCGTTCAAGCTTCTTCCGGTCTCCAGTTTCTGTCGAAAGCTGTTTTTGCGACGGCTTGCTTGGCTTGAGGAAGGTTGACCAGTGGAGGTTGGGGCTTGTGATCTTTGAGCTACATTCATCCCAGACTCAAGGCTGTTAAACAAAATAAGTATTCCTACTCGTAGCTGGTTGGTAAGATTTGCCATGCGTAGTCTGATGATATATTTTCGTGACTTTTGTGTTGAATCTGGTTGTACTCGTTTTACCTAGATTTGATTGTTGTCCAATATCCTGACAGAATCCTTGATGGTTCGGGATTTAGACAATATCCAGGGTCAGGTGGCGTGGAGCGAGGAGCACTAAAGCTGAGTTTTTGTAGAGTATCATGATGATGCCACATGAAGTACTCGGTGATTTGGATGTCTCCTGCACTCCAAAAGTCAGCTGCTGATGCTTTCTGTGTGGATTCGCTTCCAGAGCGGACCGACCACACGTGGTCGACCGACCACACCAAGTATTCGTTCGTTTTCGTCTTGTTCATCGAAGCTAGCTAGGATATCAATTGTGCAAACATGACGTCTGAGCGGTGCGGGTGCCAACAAATAGGTATACAAACCAGCTGACCACCAGGTCGAGTCGACCGACCACACTCGCGCCAGCGCCGAGCCGCTTCATCGGGCGGATTCCGATGTCCCGAGTCGTCTTTCAGGTGCTTGTCCCTGCCCATCTGCACCACGCACTTCACAGGCGGAAGTCCGAGCTCACTTGCTCGGTGTTTCCCCGCGGGCGCAGCGCTCGAGTCATGCGCAATCCGCGCGCTCACAATGTGCACTGACAGTGACATGAGGGATGCTGCGAGGTGTTTCTTTTTTTTGGCGGAAACAAGGAGGTAGTGCTCGGGCCTTGGGAACATGCACCAACTAGATCCACCATGACCGGCGGTTGGTTGGTGGGGAGCTTGGCGGTTGGTGCCCCGAAGTGGAAGCGAAGAACTTGAGCGTATCTGGTCCCACAAGGGGTGAAGGACTTCCAGGGGTCTTAGGGCCGGTCAAGTTGACATCTGGGATTGATCTGCAGCGTGTTTTCTTTCGTATTGGCATGTATTGGCACTATGGCAGGTCCGCTTTCTGTGAAGGTTGTAGTCTTTGACCTGTTGAAGTAGACAGTAGAGGAAGACCAGGACACTGATCGTCGTTGACAGGTGAAATTGACCCGAACCATCTCGGACCATCTCGTGAGGCTACGCGTCTCACGCATCGCCGGATGTGCAGGCTACTTGACGGACGTGGGCACCGGCTTCGGCGCTTGGGCTCGCGCCGTGATGAATGGCGAGAACCCACCCACCTTGCTGAAGGCGGCGCCCGTCCTAGCGATGCCTTGCGCATATGTGGCAGCTTCACGTTGGAAGCTGAGTGACCCAGGTCACCCCACCAGCCTGGGTACACCCAGGAGGTCTTTTGGAGACCAAAAGGTTTGTTGAGCAGCTGGACCCGGTCCGGACAGTCTAGTCCTGAGTCGAGTCCGGAGCCTGAGGAAAGAGGGTGTGAACAGGGTGATATGGATGATATGGAAGTAAAACTGGCTGTAAAACATGCTTCACCACAGAAATTTTGCCATCTTCAGCACAGGTTTCTTCAAAGGCAGCTGACCAATTTAATTTCTGAATGGAATATGAGGCCTTTGGGTCCTGGAATTGGGGACTTGTGATTGTTGAATGCTTTTGTTCGAAAGGAAGTGGAACTTAGGGGGCTTGGGACTGATCGCCTTTTGAAAGGGATGGAAAACACATTTAAAAACGACAATAACAGCATGTATACTTTAAACTCACTCACCTGCAGTTAAGTTTAAGAGATATAAATGGCTCATCCAAGCAACTCACGCTTTCCACCACCCACCGCACCACACACCACTCCGGCGAGATCTGATGATCGCTTCGCGTTTCGCTCGTGCAGGTGCTGCTCTTCGCTGCGGGGATCCTGTTCTTCGGCCTGGGCGGAGTGGCCGCCAAGGAGCTTCACGGACCTTACAACATGCAGGTGACGCATGAAGCGGTTTCGTTTCGGTTTCGGTTTTCTCTCCGCCCAAAACGACGTGGTGGAAGGAGTCCGCGGCGTTTATGTTGGTCGAATGTTTTCAAGACACCGACGCGTATATTTACATCGGGACAGTTGTTTGGCCGGGTCTGAAAAGCGATGGATTTGTGTGAAACTGTCATATATATATATATATGTGTGATGTTGTGTGGATATCTCCCGGGACGCCCAAACATTTGCAATAGATTGCTGTGCCCTACCTAGTTCCAGGATAATCAAGGGCGCATGGAATGGCCTGGGGGGCACGGCCTGGCCTAGGGGGCACTGAACGGCCTGGGCCTCTTGAACACACGCGACCGGGCTGATTGACCCGCCTGCCATGACCTGGTTTGGAGGCCGCGCTGATCTCTGCGGGGCTGATGGCTGCAGTGGCGGGTGGTTTGGTGCCGGTGATCAAGGTCAAGAAGAGCTCTCCTTAATGAGGCGGACCTGATGGGGACGAGGGGGACGGTGTTTTCGATGGCCTGATGGGGACCAACGTTGAACCGATGGGCCCATGGGTGGCAAGCCTCGAGAGTAGAGATCAGGCAGTTTTTGGATGCCAGGAGACCTGGCTGTCGTCGGATTTTCGAGGATGCTGACCGAGTCATACCGAGTCAAACATGAACAGGTCAAGAGTATACCAGCATGACTGCATGACGTAGGTGTGAATGCGGTGCAAGGATGTGCGATAAGATGGCCATTGCCTGTATACGTCTCCATCCACGAAGCTTCAGCCGCCGAAGCCTGAGGCCGACGTTGCTTTTCTTCATGCAGCGCTTGCAGCGGAGATTTTTTCGGGACTGGTCGTACCAGGCCCGCCATCATCTGCTAAGGGCATTTCGATCCCATGATGGCAGGTGAGTTGAAGGCACAGTCCTTCGCGGCGATAAAGACCCAAACCTTTGCAAGGCACCGAAAAGACAGCACGTGCCTGCGCGAGCGCGAGTAGGGGTGGGGCGGCCTTTTTGGGATGTTATGGTATGGTCTCCTTTTGGTGGGAGTGTATCAAACAATTACGGTGCACAATCACTTCTAGATCGGCTTGTTTGCAAGTATAGCTAGTGACTTCGTAGCACTTTTGACCCAAAACGCACGGACTGTGGCAGAAGCCTCCAAGTTCAATCTCAAGTTTTTCCAGGTAAGCCACAATTGTTTTGCTGAGAGACAAGACACCCCGCTGTGTGTGTTTTCAGGAGGAGAACGTAGACCATGTTCAGAAGACCTTGGGACCCAGATGGACCCAGTATGTACCATCTTGTACCCATCGGAATCCGACCTGGGCAGCGTCTGTTTTCGCACCTGGGCAGCGTTTTCGCGGCCTGTGCTTGAAGTCTTCGGTTCCTCTTTCGTGACATCAGTGGATAGTTAACCAGGCCTCCACAGCTCGTCTTCCCGTGGACATCCACCGGCCGGTGGCCGAGGTCGATGCCGGCGAGAAGACGCTGAACCTTGAAGCCGCTGAACACAGACAACTGTGGGATGCGGGTCGAATGTGAATGCCACAGGGAAAGCTCGAGGACTTTTTGGAGGTGAACCAATACATGCCAATACAAAATAACTGCATGGATACTGCAGGTTCGAAGGGAATCGCTGTTCACATGAAGTCACACGATGATGCGTGATGTCACTGGTCCTTATTTGGAACATGGGACCCAGTATCACAAGCTTTCTGTTTCTAGAGCATATTTGATACTAAAAAACGGGTTGTCCAGTCTGTGGAAGGTCAATATATATATATAGTTATAAGTAGTACTATAAATAAGCACAGATAGGTCATTCATGGTCATTCTACACTCCATACCACTTGAGCAACATAGACAAGGACTGGGTCTCATGGCTATGACTTCCAGAAGTATACATTCTCTGGTACCTTGGGGCGCGGAGCCCTGTGACGCTCAACGCTTTAAGGATCTTCAACAAACCCTGCTGCCTGCACCACCGGAAGCACCGGGTGTACCAGCTCCAAGCGATGGAGAAGTGGGCATCGTGGATTCGCTGCGAGAGGAGCGGCTTGTTCCAAGAATCTGGGAGCTACACGGCGTGAGCTACGAGGGATACAGGCATACATGAGGTGTGGCATGGTGTGGCTATGAGGTATGAGGACATTCATCTGAATATCCTAGATAGACACCGAATTGAATATAGTTGGCCTAGATATAGAGATTGGCAAAGGATGTGTAAGTCAAACGTAGAAATCGTCAGGCTCACGGTGCCCCCAGGTGCCCCCCCGGTGCCGAGTCTGGGAAAGTGTAGGTTTGCACAGCCGCGAATAGAGCAGCTGCCAGCTGCCATTCTATTGAAGTGGATCTTGCAAGCAGGTGGGTGGTAGAGGCGCTATCAGCAGTAAGTGATTCTACGACACCTTTTTTCGGGTCATTCTTTCTCTACTGCAAAGATCAACAGTGCGAGGCCATACATTTCCATGTGAAGGGGAGTTAGTCGATGAAGGCGGCCTTGTGACTCCTCCAGATAAAAAATAATTGTTTGCCCGAAGAGGGCAGAAAGAAAAAGAACGTGTGCCTCCAACCTAGTAGCGATGGCCTCGAAGCTAATTGCGATGGCCTCCAACCTAGTAGCGATGGGCTCCAACCTAGTAGCGTTGACGCATGTTCCTCGAAGTTCCCGGACAACAAGTTCTTTCCTCCCGTTCCCACGAACTACGTGGACCATGGACTCGTATCCACAAGGAAGAGCTGGATACGAGGGACTCCAAAGCAGGAGGGGCACCAGATTGTCCAGTTTCTTCAAGAACTCAGTTTGATTGTTTATCCAGATTCTGTCATGTGCCGTCTCCATGCTCCATGCTTCAACAGCTCTTCGGCCAATGGGAGCGTAACTCCAAGCAAAGGAGCAAACCAGCAGTTTTTACATGTACCAAGGGTGTTGGTGCCAATAGAAGCTCCAAAATGCACTCCAAAACGTACCAGAAGGTTCCAGGGAGGGGACCATCCACTTCAGATGGACCAAATTCATGTCCATCCCTCGAATGTTCACATGGTTTCCTCGAATGTGCCTTGCTTATGAAAGAAGCCTGTAGCTTTCACCTCTTGTCTTTCTTTTAACATCAAGAGGTCAATGATGCTTTAACGTGGAGTGTAGTACCGATCAATTCTCGGCATTGGCCATTCTTCCTTCATTGGAGCAATGAGGCGTGGATGTCTCTAAAAATCACACACCACCACCACCCCAAAAGATAGCCCAGCAAATGGAAAATACATAGCCCAGAAGGTCCCTTTACAAAGTTGTTTTACCAGTACTTTTACCACCCCAAAATATCAGTTTCAAGAAGCTACTAGGGGCTGCATAGCTACGAACGGAGCAAGGACGCTGCGAATGGGGCTCCTGGCCGTACTACCAGGAGTATGAAGCTACTAGTAGCAATAGAATTGAATTGGGAGGTGGCCATCCACACATGGTTTTTCTCTCAGGGAGACGACTCTTCGCCCACCACCGCCCGCCGACGAGCGCCCGCTGCGCCCGCTGCGCGCTGCGGACCCTGCGCTGGAGGGGACGCAGGACACGGGGAGAAGGGGCCGTTGGAAACGGGCTTTCCTACTAAGAGTTAGCCGTTTCATGCTGTTTCAAGACTAGATCTGAGACCATGTGATCTTGGTGAGCTAACTTTGCCTTCTTGGAATTTCATAGAACTTTGCTTTCTCAAAGAAATTGGTGCAGTTTTGCACGCACGTTTCAACGATGTGGTCACTCAAAGCCTCAAAGGCGGATACTCCAAGATATTCCAAGATAGATGCACAGGATTGATGGTTAGTCAACAACTGTGTTAATGAATCAAACAAGATGTATAATTATTTAAAAAAAGAATCATTATATGCTAGTAAAGTAAATGTAACTAGTGTATAGTATAATCCATGTGACCCTGATGCAAGCTGAACACATCTGAGTAACTGTAGACAGCCATTTTGGTGCTGCCCTTGCATGGCTCGCGTCGCCATGCGTCGGGCCGACGCTGGAGCGCGTGTGCAGATGCTTCGATCTGAAGGGACGAAGGTGTGTTTTCTGGTCTCCACATGTTACCACCTGTGCAATGGAAATAACATGACTATAACTATAACCCGTTGTTTTGTTATGCTTTGTTTTTCCCTTGGCGAGGGCAAAAACCAACACAACACTTGGGGTATGAAAAGTGTGGAAATTCATTGACTTCATTTGGACAGAATCGCACACTACGGCCTCAGCATTTGCAAAGCTCTGGTCTGCCAGGATTCCTTGACCTACTCCTTGGAGTCGAGCTCGGTACTTAGACCTGGCGAGACAACTAAAGCCCCAAGGGCTTCACTAGACTGAGAAGGCATTTTGGTGGGGTCTAAGTCTCTACCGGTGATGTTGTGGGAGCATGTAAAAATTGTGAGATATTCTGATTCTCAGATGCTGGTGGTGCTGGTGCAAGACAGTTGTCTTCCAACATAGTTTCAGGTTTCAGTGGTGAACTGGGAGTGTGGGGTTTGGCCGTCCATTTTCAAAGATCTTTCCTGGAAATCAGGGTCTCCTCATGTCATGCATGATCCAAAAGAGCATGCTCTTGATGCACATCATAAATCAGCTAAGCCAACGATGTGAAGCACTTGGATAGGTTGGATGAAGATGGAAGGACCACCAACAGGTTCAGGACGGTGCTTACTGTAGGTGCTTGATGCAGTTCAGACATGATTTCGCTCGACAGCTGCTGGTTGATCATGGCCTTCCTCGCTGCTGGTTGATCCCGTGCTGTTGCATGTGTTGCTTCAGCTTCGTTGCAACGCAGGCTTACCTTGATGCTGCAATCTGAAGTCAATGATGGCAAGTGTGGATCAACGGTTTCCATTGAACACATAATATATCAGAGTCTCCACCTCCTCTTCCTCTTCAGTTGCTGATTCTTTGTTCATCCTATCTCCAGCTTACAATCCTATTGCTTCTTTTTTATCGCTGTTGAACGTCTCATCTTGGCGCAACGCGCAATGCCTTCAAGGGGTCTTCGGGCATCCATCAAGAGCTCAACAGGTTGCAACACTTCGCAACATACCCCTTCGATCCCCTATTCGCTACTAGGAGCAACGGGCATCGCTACTAGGAGCAAGGACGCTACTGGGGGCTCCTGGCCTTACATATTT